TGGCATATTATGTCATATGATAAATTTTACAAAATAGAATTAAAATATTTCAAAAACTAATTTTTTTGCAAAATTATATTTTTATTTCTATTTTTATTCTTATATTTTTATTCTATTTAAAGAATAATAAATTTTATTTATTAATCTATTAAAAAATATCATTTAAAAAAATAAAGTTTTGAAAAAAAAAATTATTTATATCAAATTATGTCTTTTACGAAATAAAATAATTTCTATTTGAAATATCCTTTGAAATAACGAATAATTTAAAAAATAATTGTAAACATATTATGATTGCGTGTTTACATAATAATAGAAAAGTGAAATAAAGCGTACAACATTTATTACACATGTGTATATTACATATAAACTCTTCTTTCTAATACAGGCGAATAAGGAGATCAAACATGAATTTATTTAGTGATGGACCATATAATGATATCAAAAGAAAACATCTTATTTTAATCCTATAAATTCTGATAAAATTAAATGACAAGTAGAAAATTGATAATGATGAAAAAATTGTATAATGATTTCCTTGATGGAAATATTATATAATGAGACAATATTATATATTAAGACAAAATTACGTACTAATGTAATCTTTACGTACTATGTAAATCTTTAAATTAATAGATAAAATCGATAACTTTATTTAAAGTTTAAATCTTATTGTTAATATTAGATATCAAAACTTCGTTGCTGCGTAATACAATTCTGTTTTAAATCTATAGAATATATAAAATTGATTATAAATTCTATTTTTTTATTGTTCTGAAATTTTTAATGTGTCAAAATTAATAAAATTTTATTGGAAATAATTTTTAATTTTATAGAGATTTTCAAATTATAGAAATTCAAAATTCGGAAAATTCGACTATCTTTCGAGTCAAAAATTTCAATTGTTCTATCTAACATTTTAAGATTTGAAAAAATTAAATAATATATAAATATAATATGAAATATATAAATATTTCAACATATTTTCAAAAATAAAAAAAAAAGCTAAATAGAATATTTTAATTAAAGACAATATTCTTTTTAATTTTCTAACTAATATCTATTCTACTTTTTGTCTGACGAAAAGGTCCTTATTCTATTTTCTATTCGATTATTATATGACTACATATTATATCAATACTAGTTCACTATAGTTTATAAATAATTATAAACAATTGAATTTGCCTATCAATCTTAGTTTATTTACTTTTTCATTTTTCATATAAATAAATGTCATTTAATAATTAAAAACACTTCGATTTGTCTGTCAATCCCTTTTTTTTAATTATTTTTTCCACAAATAAATGTTATTTAAGAATGAATTAAAAATATATTTATATGAATAATACTTATTTTTTTTTGATTTTCTCTCACCCAATTTTTTTTGCAGAATACTTATCCTTCTATTTAATAATAAAAAAANATATATTATGTAATATATATGCATACAATACTATTATATTACAATACATTGATATAAATATATAGATATACGTATAGGAAATTAAAAAATAGAAAATTTAAATAGTATTTTAGATCTATAAGATCTAAAATACGAAAAATAAAGAATAAAAAAATCGATTGATACTTTTTTATAGTTATAAACAATTAAAAATTTTTTAAAAATTAAAAAAAAATTTTTTTAAGAGTATTTTATACTTTTTTATTAACTTTCTTTCATATATTCAAATATATTTTTATTTTATTCTTAATTGCCAATAATTAAAAAATAAAGTTTTTAAAAATTTTTATATTCTTTATTTTTATCTCCATTTAACTTATAAAAACATGTTTTAAATTTTTTATCAACTTCGCTTGAAATTTGCGATACATTAAGTTAAAGAGATTTTGGAAATACTTAGAATTTTAAAGATAGAAAAAAAAAAAATAAAATTTTATTGGAAATAAAAAATTTTTGAGAATCAAATTTAGAAACTTATTAAATAAATACCTAAACTTGTTTTTAATTGAATATTTAATTGAATAAATAATTGCATCGTAAGAATTTCATTCTACATGCTAAAATAAATATATTAAAAAAATGTTAAATTAAATAAATATAATTATATAAAAATATTAATTTGATAAATTAAAAAATTATTAAAATTCTTTATTTGACTAAATTAAAAAAAAAATTGGATTCAAATGTTAAATACTTGTTAAATTTTCAAATTCGATTTTTTTTAGAAATACAGTCTTATGCAAAGAAATTATATATTTTTTATTTAATTTTATATATAGAATAATCTTTTATCTATCATTATTTACTGGATATGTTATTTAAATCTTCGAATTCAATTATCTTCAAAATATTATTAATTATTTTAAAAAAATATTTCAAATAGAATATATTACATTTAATACTTCATAGTTATTTATATCACGAATTTCAACTTTTATTATATATATTATAAATATATACATACATATATATATAACAAATACATACATATATATGTTAAAATATCTCTAATTGAAAATTTTATTGCGATTATAAATAATTTGAAATATGAAAAAAATATAAAATCTGAAGAAATGTGATAATTTAATAAATTATTGTAACAAAAATAATATAATGATTATGAGAAACAGAGCAAAAACAAAAACTAATTGTAATATTCTTATAAAGAAATATTAACAAGTGTAAAATATTAATTATAATATAATTTTAATTAATTATATATAATTTTTTAATTAGTTTTACAATTGGTTAAGAATATTTGATAACACGTTATTTACGTACCTCTAGATGAAATCACTGATTAAATCTACAAACATGCAGTGCAATGTAAAAAAAACTTATCGTAAAAAGGATCATGCCTTTTCAAATATATTAATGTTATGCAAAAAAAAGCAAGAAAAAAGAAAAGAAAATTCAATACTATGTGTGTATATTGATGCAATAAACAATAAATAATATTTACTGGATGAACGATTAAATAAGGAGAAGATATATAACGATAAAAATGGAAGGAGAATTTTCGCGTATGTCCCATCTCATTTTGATATTTTGGTTTTTCAATTATTATTCTTATTATTATTCTTATTAAGGAAAAATATTTCAAATAAAAGTTGAATTCTGTCAAGATATGCATATTCTGTTATTAATTTTTTTTTGAATGTATAAAAGTCATATGAGAGTCAACTTCGTTTTTTTAAATAATATTATATATTTTTTAATAGATAATCAATGCAAATCAACATTTTACAAAAAAATATTATGATTAAAAATTATTTATTTAGGAAATATTTCAATATAAATTTTAAAATTTTTTGCATGATGGTAAGTAAAATACAGAAAATATAAAATAAGTTTTACAAAATTCAAATTGAAATATTTTTTAAGTTAATAATTGTTAATATTTTTTATACACAAATTTTTTGTATTAATACATTAAAAAATATTTAATTCTATTTAGAAAAACAAACTTTTACGCGATTTTTACGCATTTATTGACGAAAAAACATCATAATAATATCATAATATATTGTCCTTAACATTATTCAAATTTTATATAAAATATTTTTCATTAAAAACAATAATACTAAAAAAATCAAGATATTAAAATCAAATGAGACAATCTATACATATGTGTTATTATTTAGTGAATGAAGGAGAAACTCATCGCCTAATTTACCTGTCCTTTCCTGTCGTTTTGTGGCTTCGACTTCGTTTCTAACGTCTTCGACGTCAGTTGTTTCCGATGCAATGTAACCGTTTGCTGTTTTCGTCATGGTTCCGATGCCGCGACATTCAACCTCATTCTCCTGACGAACGAGCATGCTTACCTGCTCGTTGGACCTGCGCAAGATCTTACCGACGGTGTTAGAATCGAACGGACCGTCATCTATCACTGTTGTGATAATCGTTCCCGAATCGGGTGTCGGGAATACGTAAGTCTCGTTCGCGATCTCTTTACCAGCTTTCAATGACTCCGCCGATATTTTAGAACTCTTTATTATCAAGGCGGTCGATCTGACAACCTTCGGACTCTTTTCGAAGGTATTTATATGTTGCCTGACGACGTTATCGATGTCACGCCCGAGTAATTCCTCCGAGCCTATCACTATTTTTTGACTGTACAATGGTTGAGGTCGGTTCAGCGTGTTCTTGGGATATTTCATTCTAATTTTCGTACGATTTGTGGTGGTGTTGAAAGTGATGGTGGTGGTGGTAGTGGTGGTAGTGGTGGTGTTGTGGGTGGCTCTCACATGCGTATCATTTTCATCTACTGCTAAACGAACAGAAAAAAAAAAAGAAAAGACAAATCAACGATCTAAAAAGCCAAAGAAGCGCTGATTTTAATTGATTAATTTCGTTTTTTACATACATATATATGTTTATTTAAGAAACTGACGATTATTATTACTTTGCATATTTAATAATTTATATATATTGTTATAATCTTGAAATATCTCTAATATTTCTAAATTATATTAAAATATAAAAAAATTAAAAAATATTAGAAAGAAAAATGAATCAAAGTGAATTTGATATTAGATCACAAAGATTGAAATATGAACAAGTAATTGAATAAATCTATTGATAAATTTTGATAAAATTTCTTTTGAAAAATCTAAAACAAATTATTGTGATTTATTCTTCTTTTTTATTCTAAATATAAACTTTCCTAGATTTGTCTTATTAACACATCTATCCATATATGACATTAATGAATTTCATTTCGATCAGCTATTCCCGCAACAATATTCGAAACTTTAGATTAAATTATTATATATAAAAAATTATTATGCCAAAAATATTTCATTTTCATGTAAAATTATAGTAAATTATATATAAACCAAAGTAATTCATTAAATATGCGAGATAAGTTATGAATTTCCTCAAATAAATATCTTTTTCTTTTTTCTTTAATATGTTAATAAATGAATATTGAATAATAATATAACAATTTTCGTTCGATTCTTGTATATATAATTTTGTACATATAATCTTTCATATTAAAAAAATTAGCCAATTGTTAAAATTTGATATATATGTTTTAATCAATTAATAACAATTTAATTTCAAAATTAAGAAATATAAAGTTTTAAAAATAATAAAATATTTAATTATTAAAGAATATTTTCATTTTTATCTTTCTAGTAAATTAGATCAAAAATATTCTATGAATTTATTT